CGGGGTTACAGTACTAGAGAGTTGAAGAGTGCAATGTACAGTGAACCAAAATGTTTTCTGCGCACCATTCAGTTAGAAATACCAAACTGGCTTGGAGATTAAATAAGAAAAACACGCATCAAGCAGATGTGATCGAGGTTGACAAACTGATGCTGATTCCTGACAAAGTTACGGTCTCTATTGGTCTGCAGGGAGCCCCAACAAATGTTCCAAGTGATCCCAAAGGGTTGCAACTTGTCCTCGAGTACCTGAAGGAAGCCTATGGGATAACTCAACTTTATGTCCACGAGAATGGCAAGCACATATAGTTTAGCAAGAAGCAAACCTATGTTAACGAACCAAATATCTTCCTGAATCTCAGTTGTATTATTCTTCGTGTCAGCAGGTGTGGGGTCAGCCAACGATAGCCTTGATGATACTTACAGGGTCGATTACCTGCGCAGCTACATGGGAAGCACACTAGATGCAATAAGGTTAGCAATCTTCAGCACACGGCTCCATATCTCTCAGCGGATGCTTAAGACTCAGAAAAGGAAAACAAAGATAAAATTTGGTTTTCCACCACCCCGATTGACGCTCGTTGTTCTGCAGGAATGGGGTTAATGTGAGGGGTTATTTCGCCTGGGCACTCATGGACCTATTCGAGCTCCTGGCAGGATACGAGTCCAAGTACGGCCTGTACCGCGTGGATTTTGATGACGAAAGGAGGCCACGGCAAGCCAGGCTCTCTGCTCGCTGGTACTCCGCCTTCCTGAAAAAGAATGGATCCTCTATTCGAGTATCAAGGGCGCAGGAGGACCTAAGGTTGACGACCGTCTTCTAAGTTTGGTGCTCGTGCGTCACATGTATGTATGCACGCACCTGTCGAAGTTTAACAAAAGGCCACTCTATTGAGCAGCAGATTCTTCAACTTTATTTTCTGAAAATAAAGGGGCGTGAGAGGAAGAACTGGCAGCCAGACGGCCCGGGAAGAAGTATGTTTAGCTGACTTGTGGGTTGTTTTGTCACAACAAGGGTGACTTCCCTGCTATTTGTAGGAATTGCAAGTCAAACATTACAAGTGGAAGTTGATGGCGACGAAAACAACCAAAGGAACTAACCGAGGATGAAAAACACAAGTTTAGTTCCCTTTTTTAAACTCATGAAAATTGGAAAGTTAGTTGGTTATGGCTGTTATATGTTCTGGATCAGATAAATTTTGAAAGAAGAAGTCTTCTTTCGATCCTTGAACTGGTGCCGTCTTGGTCTTGGTCATATTAGTTTTGAAAGGAACATGTTTTCTTTTGACCCTTCTACAATTTACCTTTTTCTTTTCTTTAGAATGACCTGTAAATTTGCTCAAATTTGACAGACATTACAAGTACAATGAACAACAACAACAAAGCATGTAAAAAAAACCCACAACAAAGGCTCTAGTTGAAAGACAGACTATTTCAGCTTAGTCCATGTCCAACTAACTGCAGCTAAGCCAACGCACATGCTGACAGATGTCTTTCAGCCCCCGGAATGAGCTATTTCAAATGATGCAAGTTTGTACTCCCTCTGTTCCAAAATAGATGACCCAACTTCGTACTAAAGTTAGTACAAAATTGAGTCATTTATTTTGGAACGGAGGGAGTAATTGTATATATAGCTGCCAAAGCAGATCACCACTGTAAGTATACTTAAACAAGCCACAGGTGCATTTTGAAAGAACAATCATGCACGCTTTCATGCTTATCTATGTAAGCACTTAACTTCTACATCAGCAAAGAGACAATACGATTCTTATATTTCTAACGCGTATTTGAATGAAAATACATGCCAAATCCCTGATGTTATTATCCAAAAACAGCAACATAAAAGACTGATTGTTACAGCAGAGTACACATTGCAAGTTCATCCAAATCCCTCAACTTTTACATTTGATTTGACACATCTTATTGTGTGGAGAACTACATGAGAAATTACCCTCTATATTCTATACAACTCAAAAAGATAAAAAAAAAAGAACTGTGGCACTAGTACATGATAAATATGAGAAAATACCAAATTTGTGCAAAAATATGATCCATGTATATTGTAATTAGGATAAAGTGGAAAAAAAGGACTGCACTCATGTTTTGTAATATAAGTACAATCTTTTCCTTTTGTATTGTGCATGATGATTTTTTTGGACAAGTCTACTTTTTTCCTCATATTTTGCCATACGCTTACCATGGAACTTCTTAAAAAGTGGTTCAAGTGTACGAGTACAGAGTTCATCAACACAGGACCACCGCCTACCAAACTAAATAATTATTACATATAATTATAGATAAAGGAAGCTAAAACCTATTCATTGAATGCCAAGTTCATCTTTCTAAGATTGGGTGTAATCCACACCGGAGCTGGGCAGTTGGAGCAAAGCTGGGAAGACACAAGTTCCTCCCTGCTGTTATTACCCAAGTCGAGAATTCCCATATCACGGGGACTGTTCTTGAATCCCCTTGTCCAAAGCACACTGTCATCGGTAAAGTAGGCATGGTTTCCCTTGAGAGCCGGATAGTCTTGAGCAGCAAGACAAAGTGATTGATTGTGCCCAAGAAACAACACATGGTCGCGCAAGCAACTGGTTTTCTTAATTTTCTCTCCTGAAGAAGCATCGACTTCATATATTTTGAATTTTCCAGTGCTCCAAAACACAGATGCCCCAGGCTCGGGTTCTAAATCACAGTGCTCATATAATCTCCACACCTGAAGAAGATTGCCCCATGGAGCTTGTACAATGTAAGTATTCAGAAACCGGTCATCAGGCTCTGGCTCCCGTGTAATCATCTTCATCGTGACAACAGGGCTACTTAGGTCAAAAGCGTGAATTTGTCCATATGAAGTGACTGCGTACAGCAGGCCGTTCTTGTAAATGCAATCGTCATAGTTGGTGTATGGTGGCAGCCATATCCAACTATCATCCCCTGCCCTTGCAACCGAGAGCTGACTGGCTGGATTGTGTATGAGCGCCACAATGTATCCATTGCATGCATCAGAAAACACAAAAGCTTTATAGTGGAGCTTGTTCCTCAGCTCTCCAAGAGCCAAGATCGATGGCGGACCGTAAACCCTTTTTGCGGTGTGGCATGAGTACTCGTACTGGTGAAGAGCACCGGAGTCATTATAGCTGGGTTTCACATGCTCGATGGTGATCACCGAAGGGAGATCAATCTGTTCACCAGTGATGGGATTGACAAGGTGCATCTCAGATCTGTCATCAACTGTAACAAGCAAGCCTTGCGAGGACCCAATCAGATGCCTATTTCTGATAGGCGGCCCTGGAAGAGTCAGCTTGTACGTCCGCTTCTCCGCGAGGCTGTAGAGGCAAGCAACGCTCTCGCCAGCAGATTCAGATGTGTAGAGGAGGCACGGCGTCTGGGGGCGCGTGTAGTGCCCAAGGCTGCGCAGCCTCAAGTACGTGGAGCGCCATGAGGAGCAGACCGACCCGGCACGGATGAGGTCAGGGATCTCGAGGGTGGCCAAGATGCTCATCAAGATGTCCTGAGGCAGCTCTGGCGATGCGCCCTCCATAGTCTTGATCAGTGGAGGATGCTTGCAGAATTTCTTCAGTGAACTTGGAGTGAGGCGTAGCAGCCTAGGCAAAGCTCTGAGAACTAGCGAGCACAGATATGCTGGGTGTATAGCTAGACTCCATAAGCTCATTGTCCAGGCTAGGCTACAGGCCTCCATATAGGCAAAATCAATCTTGGACGACTTAAAAAGACCCAATGCCGGAGGAGGAAGATACGGAGCTTCGGCGACAGTCCGATTATTCTCAGGTGTACCGCCGGACTTCATAATCTACAGGCATCCGTATATATACGTTTTATAATTAAAAAAAAAGTTACAACTTTGGATGGAAACAGAGGATAAGAGTTCTTGTGGGTAACTTATAGATCACAAACGGAGGACACACCTGATTCGAATACGCGAAGAACTGTATTGGATTGGGCACTCGGGGATTCTTTTGCTGATGAAGGCACGGACTTGATTCGAGGAGTCCCACTCGGTTTGCTTCTCAGAATCCTCCTATCTCTCTACCAAAGGGAGGAAGGAAATTAGAGCAATAACCGGCGGAAGGTGAAACGTAGCCAAATCAGATGCGGCGGAAGGTGATACCCAGATTGAAGAGGGAGATCTAAGCCGCAGCAGCCGCAGCAGAGGAGGGAGGGGGCGCACGCGTTGACCTGATTGGATCAGCAGAGGAGGGTGGAGGCGGCTGCGAGTCCTCTTCGCGCAGCGCTCACGTGCCTCCGCTCGTGGGCCGGTCCAACCAGCAGGTGAGTGCTCGCTATAGCGCCGCCGGTTGGAGTTTCTGGCGCTCACACGGCACCTGGTATGGGCCAGCCCACCACGAGGCAATCAGCGAATCGTTCGCCAGCTCACGCTTCGTACGCTTCGTTTCTTTGATAAAAGAAACGTACGCTTCGTTCTCCACTAGAAAAAACAAACGTACGAAAAAAGTTCATTCGTTTCCAAAAAAAATTCATCGGTTTTTAAAATAGTTCATCAAATCAAATTTGGAAAAAGTCCATCGGTTTTGAAATAGATTTCCTCGATTTCCAAAAAAAAATTCATTGATTTGAAAAAGTTTGGTTGTTTTGAAAAAAAAATCATCAAATTTGAAAAAAAATGTTCATCGAATTTGACAAAAGTTCATAGATTTGTAAAATAATGTTCAATGAATTTGAAAAAAGTTCAGCGATTTTGAAAAAGAGTTTATGGAATTTGAAAATACAATCATTGATTTTTAAAAAAGTTCATCAGTTTTGAAATCCAATTTTTTAAAAAAATCATCAATTTGACAAAAGTTTATCAAATTTGAAAAAAAATTCATTGAATTTGGAAAAAAGGTTCATCGAATTTGTAATAGGTAAAACATTTGAAAAAACAAACAAACAAAAGCCAGTCCAGAAAACCGGGTTTTCTGCTAAACGAAAACTGTCTCGCGACCGGATAAAACCTGGTTGGGAAACCAGGGCTTTCCGCGAGCTTGAAATAATAAAATGATACAAAGAGGCACAAAAGTTGTGTTATCCTAGTGGTTGCCTCTGGTGGTTTGTGAGGAACTGGTGACGAGTTTGATTCCTGGCGTAACATGTCTGGGGTTGGTGCGGTGGCCCTAAACCATGAAGGCATTTGTGTTGCCGCATTCACTGAGCCTCTTCAAGGTGCACTAGAACCTGAACTTGCTGAAGCTATGGCTCTTCGAAGGTTTGTGAAACTAGCATGGGATGAATACTTCTTCAATGTGATTTTTGCTACAGATTGTCAGTCTCTTGTGAATAGCATTAATGCCAACCCTCTTGACCGTTCCATCATGTGGTAAACTAGTAAAATGTCTGTGCGTTGCCACATGCTTTTAAAATATTTTGCTGAAGTTATATATAAACATAAT